TGTCACAGGTGTTGGGTCTGTGTCACAGGTGTGTTGGGTCTGTGTCACAGGTGTGTTGAGTCTGTGTCACACGTGTTGGGTCTGTGTTACAGGTGTGTTGAGTCTGTGTCACAGGTGTGTTGGGTCTGTGTTACAGGTGTGTTGAGTCTGTGTCACAGGTGTGTTGAGTCTGTGTCACACGTGTGTTGTGTCTGTGTCACAGGTGTGTTGGGTCTGTGTCATAGGTGTGTTGGGTCTGTGTCATAGGTGTGTTGGGTCTGTGTCACACGTGTGTTGGGTCTGTGTCACAGGTGTGTTGGGTCTGTGTCACAGGTGTGTTGGGTCTGTGTCACACATGTGTTGAGTCTGTGTCACAGGTGTGTTGGGTCTGTGTCACACATGTGTTGGGTCTGTGTCACAGGTGTGTTGGGTATGTGTTACAGGTGTGTTGGGTCTGTGTCACAGGTGTGTTGGGTCTGTGTTACACATGTGTTGGGTCTGTGTTACACGTGTGTTGGGTCTGTGTTACAGGTGTGTTGGGTCTGTGTCACACGTGTGTTGGGTCTGTGTCACAGGTGTGTTGGGTCTGTGTCACAGGTGTGTTGGGTCTGTGTCACAGGTGTGTTGGGTCTGTGTCACAGGTGTGTTGGGTCTGTGTCACAGGTGTGTTGGGTCTGTGTCACAGGTGTGTTGGGTCTTTGTCACAGGTGTGTTGGGTATGTGTTACAGGTGTGTTGGGTCTGTGTCACACGTGTGTTAGGTCTGTGTCACAGGTGTGTTCTGTCTTTGTCACAGGTGTGTTGGGTCTGTGTCACGTGATTGTAACACGTAACAATTCCCATTTTTAGGTGTGCAGGTAAAAAAAATGTTTACCGAAGTAGCTGATTCCTGAGTAGCTATTAACGGAAATAATGTAATTAATGACGTCATTAATGGCCTGATCTAAAAAAAAACGTGTATTGCTGTCATTCGCGTCACCAGCGACACGTGACGTCATCTCCTCAAAAGACAAAACCTGGAATCCTTTTGTGGTTTTTGAATTGTGACGGCTCTTTACTAACGTCGGTGTGGGGCCGGCTTGTAAAAGTTTAATGAATGGGTTGAAATCTAATTAGTGTTTTGGTGATAATTAGCAGCGGTGTAAGCTGATATGAATGGAACTATGGGCTGTAGTGTGAGTTAGAATAGGTAAGGTTTTTTTTTTAAACTAAAAGACAGTGGTTAACCTATGTATTAGTGGTTAGCCTATGTTGTAGTAGTCAGTGTATTGGTTAGTGGTTAGAATGGTTACAAGTGTTTATTGAGATAATTACAGTGACTGCGTGGTCGGACAGTAGAACACACGAATGCTAACCCGAAAGTCTCGAGTTCGGATCCGGGGATGAAATCCTTAGGACGTCTCAAACCTGATGAGTACGTTAGGAAACATAATGGCGTCTGGGCTTAGTGTTGACTACCTACATATGCCGAGTCTAAAAAAACAAACAACAGGTGAACTCTACTGTATCTGCACTATGGACCACCATGTTTCGGAAGCGTAACTTTACTTTTATATTTATATATTTTATATTTATATATGTTATATTTATAAGTAGTTACCATATTTCTACTTGGTTAGCCTGTCATGTTGTGGGGTACTTCGTCATTTGCATAACTTTGAGTGCTTATACAACAGTGTATGTGCTTAGCATGCCGTGAGTTTCCTACATCAAAGATAGCGCTCACCACAGCCGTATAAAATTAAGCAAATCAAAATCAAATTTACCGCAAAAGTTCAGCCCGTAGATTTAAATATCTTAAGTTCTAAACCCAATTTTAAACATCTTTTATCCTCCTTTTAAAAGCGTCGCCGCATTTTATTTTATTTTATTTTTAAAACCCAGCTAGCCAGCAGTCCGGCTCTTCAATAGGAATTATCGATTCCCACAATGCATTACGTTGTTGTTATCAAACCTAAAGCTTTTCTGAAAGCTCGCGTTAATAGACTGGTTAGCGGCGGTGGCCGAGGTAATCAGAGGTACATATTTGTCGATGTTACCTGGGGGTATGAAAAGGGGGGTGGGGTAGGGTTGAGGGGACCCAGGTAAAGAAACGACAACCCCTCTCCTATCCCCCCGGGGGTTAGGTAGACAGAGGGTTCCACAACTTGTAGAACTGTGACGTTTTGAGGAGAGTTTTTTTTTTATGTTGGGATAAATAAAGTTAAGATATAAACGTTCAATAAACTAGGCGGTATCTAGCAGGTCTATAGGTGTGTGTGTGTGGGGGGGGGGGGGGGAAGGGGATGCGATTAGTTGTGTTGTGTGGTTGGAGAAAAGAAATGACTATTGTAAAATTCTGTGATTTAAGAGTGTTTCAGTATTGTTAGAAGAGTATGAGGTCGGGTAGTTGGCTCGTAGTTAGTGAATGATGTAGTTGGGCGGTTAGGTTGGTGTGTCGTTATATTAGAGTTTCAGAGTTTGAAATGTAAGGAAAAATTTCAGGAAAATTTCTTTTTACAGAACGCTGCTCTAGGGTTTTGTAGAGATGTGTAGAGGTGTTGTAAAAGTGATCTACAGGTGTTGTTGTAGATGTTGTAGAGGTGTTGTTGTGGGGGTGCTGTAGAGGTGTTGTTGGGGGTGTTGTGAGGGTGTTGTAGAGGTGTTGTAAAAGTGATCTACATGTGTTGTTGTGGATGCTGTAGAGGTGTTGTTGGAGGTGTTGTGGGGGTGTTGTATAGGTGTTGTTAACTCTTGTACGGTGATCTACCTGTTTAGAGACGTGAATCTTGCCTCCCACCTATCAACAGGCGCTGAAGTAAAACATCCCACCACTGTTTGTTTAGTGTAAAATATTCGTGTCGCATCATTAGAATGTTCCGAGGTTACCGACGTAACTAACATTCAACACGACGACACAGCGAACTGTATGCTTGATGAATATTTCATGCTTTTTTGTCCGTCCCAATCAATACATTTCAAACGTCCTTCTAACGCCGGTAATGACATTATCAATCCGCGTGTAACTGGTAATTATTAGCAGACTAATTAATTATCGCTGGTAGATGATAGAGATCATTAATTAATTAATTAATCAGTGTATGGTTGTCAGGTACAAATAGCCGGCGGGGCGAATCACTTATGTGTTTTCTGGGAGGTTTTTTAAAAGATGCTAAAATAACCAGACATCGCGTCATTGCTTATGACGCATGGCCAATTCATGATCCACCGGTGATCGATTAAAGTGTGTGACGTATGATCCACTGACGATCGATTAAAGTGTGTGACGTAAGATCCACTGACGGTTGAGTGAGGATGTTGAATATCCATTCAGTGAGGGTCGAATTAAAATAAAACAAAAACAGAAACTAGTAATAGAACGACCAAGTCTGGTTTGGTGATAGATTAAATAAACCTGCATGCTTTACCGGTGATGTAGCATTAAAATTAAGTTTAGTGTTAAGGTTTATCGTGGGATTAGGGTTTTTCAGATTGTAACATTATAATAAGGTTTAATGTTACGGTTAATCAAAGGATTAGGATTATCTTTGGCTTGAAATATGGATACAGAATATGTTTGTTTTCTTATAGATTCGACACCGCATTATTTCTTGGATTAGATTAACTTTACTGCACTTTACAATTATTAAATAGTGCAGGTGTTCTGTGTGTTAAATCCACCTTAGCTTAACAAACTAGCCGCCCCCACACCACACTCACACCACCACCTATACACACTACCCATCCAAACACTACACACACACACCTCACACACAAACCATCAAATAATCCCTTACCCCACACCCATCACACACAACTCAAAAACAACACCTCATACACACACCACCGCCACACCACATTCATACCACCACATATACACACCACCCGTCCAAACACCACACACATCACACACAAACCTTCCAATTATTCCCAAACCCACATGCACTACCTCCACACCACTCCCCCACGCAGCGACCACCGAAATCAACAATACCCACATCCGCACCCCACCCCACTCCAGCCCAACCCCACCACTCCACCCACACCCCCCACACCACACCTCACACTTTGATGTGTGTTAAAATTCTTTTCATCTCATCCTCCAGTCCCGCCGGTCACGTGGTCATTAAAAAACGACCCAGTTAATTAATTATTCACAGAGTTGACCAAAGCAGGGGCTGTCCTGTGTGGCATTCAACCCAAGATATGACGTCACAGCTTCAACCCTCGCCGTAGTTAATGACTGATAATTAGGTGATAATTAGATAACTGTAATGGATCTTAGCCTAGTGACTCGTGATTAAAGCTGGGGGCATTTTTTTTAAAATCAGGATATTATTATATGAATGTTTGCGATAGTATTGTGCATGTACGAACGAATGTAGGACAAATATGCATGATCAATTAATGGATTGTGGAATGTGGATATTAACCACGGATAAAAATGGCGGCTCATTAGATAATGGGGTAGCTCAAAGTGCTGACATGGCATTAAGTTGGCACAGGTCATCTAACGATAAACAAGTTGACATCATAATGACAAGTCAGCAAACGATGAAAAAGTTGGTCTCATAATGACAAGTCAGCCTACATTTGACAAGGTGGGCTACAGTTTACATGTTGGCGTCCGTTTGGCAAGTTTGCTTTAAACTGACAAGTTGTTATCGAGATTGACAATCTGGTCAAAAAATTAACGTGCCACAAATTAATTATTTGGCCAACTAGTAGAATTATGTTCTTAAAAAGGAGTTTTAAACATTGGTTAAAATTAAATGATAAATATAATTTTTTTTAAGTTGGTTAAAAAATTGGATATTTCATTACCAACATTTGGGCCACAACTAACATTTTACAAAAAAAAAACCCCAAAAAAACAAAAAAAAAACCATTATGGCCGAACACCTACATTTAGCTACAGAACACCATTATGGCCACAAATCAGATTTTTAGCCACAAACTAACATTCTGGCCACAAAAAAATAAAAAATAAAAAAAAATAAACAATTGGCCACAAACCAATATTCTAGCCACAACCCAACATAATGCCGAAAACCTAAAAATCTGCCCACCGTTCAACATTTTTATCCCAGTGAATGTTTGAAGCAGTCAGACGAACTAGTTATTCAACGTGTCGCTTGCTTGAGACAGAAAAAAAAACAACTTTATGGTTTTAAGAAAAAAAAACGTTCTCGTTTGTTTTCTGATGAAGATTTAATAAAACTAAAACTTTACCTATTGCAAATATTGTAATACACAAAACAGGACAAAATGATCGATGATCAGTGTTATTTCCAACATTTCGACAACAAAATGGTGGTTGGACATTGCCATTTCCAACATTTGGACCACAAAATGATGGTTGAAGAATGCCGTTTCCAACATTTGGACCACAAAATGATGGCTGCATACTGCTATTTCCAAGCATTTGACCACACATCTGTCTCTTAGCTTATGTAATTCACCTCCACAGGACTGTAAGCTAGGTCCGAAACTTTGACCTACATTCCAACTGTGACGTATGCGCATCATCTGATGCCATGCCGGCAGTTGATAGTGTTAAACGTTGAACAAATAGGGTCATAGTTCACTCAGGAACTCAGTTTTCTGCTAGCTTGGTCCGTTCAGTTCATGTCAACTAAACGTAGTTGTACACGTTCGTTAACAGTTTCATTGTAGCTTGATCACTCTTATTGAACTTAAACCGAAACAAACTCATCTGGGCAAATCCAGTTCATATAAAGTCACCCTAATTACAGTTTAATGTTAGAAACTTTTAATCAAAGATATTTAAAAACACCATAGATTGTGTTTAAACTAATCAAACGTAAGTTTAAATCCGTAATAAAGGTTTTTAATATATTTAGAATAAAATCAAAGGCAAACTTTGAAAAGAGGTAAATACATCGAAATATTGTCATATCAATCTATCTTTTTTTTTCCTCTGTCAGCCTTACATTTTTTTTAAATTTAAATAATTTTAAGTAACTTACGCTAAGCTACAAATAGGCACTTAAATAGACGTATAAGCAACTAAACTAGTCCTCGTCCTAACAGTATAACAGCCAAGTCCTTAATACTAATCCACAATCTAACTCATCGTAATTCCTAGTTCGTTGCCCAGCTAATCTTGTCCTTCACCGTCCCTAACTCTTCCCCCTTAACTCAAAAGCCAATCTGATTGGCTGCTCCGGGGTTAGCAGACCTTGAGGCGTGAACTTGACCCCGTCGCCCCCCTTCTTCGGCTCCGTCTCCTCGTTCAGGATGACCTTGACCCTCCTCAGAATATACACCAAGGCGATCTTGAGCTCCAGGTAGGCCAACCTCATCCCCAGGCAGATCCGTGGACCGTGGCCAAAACACACGAAGGCCAACGGGTCACGCTTCTGCTTCTCTTCCGGGTCGAACCGCTCCGGTCTGAACTGATCCGATTCCGGCCAGATCCTGTGGTCCTTGAGAATGTGGAAGAACGGTATCTGAACCAGCGTCCCCTTGGGGATGGTTACCCCGTTGTAGGTGCGGGTGTCCTTGGCTTTTCTGGTAACTATGGGAACGGGAGGGTAGAGCCGCAGCGTCTCGTTGACGGTCATCTCGGTGTACGTCAGACTGTTGAGCTCCTCGGGGGTCGGGTTTTCTCCCTGTACGACCCGAGTTATCTCCTCGTAGACTCGGTCCTGAAACATCAGATAAGGAAGTTTAACTCTGGCGTGTCGGACTAGATCAATGCAGTATTTTCATAACATTTTATCTTAATTGAAAATATATTGTGCCTGTTTTAGTTTACGTATTTTAACAGATATTCAAGATATTGAGAACAAAAAACTGATGCCGTATTCAAATTATACACGGGGCTCAATAGTTGTTCAAACTTTAAAATATGGACTGGGTGAAGTTTACCAAGTCATTTATTATCATTTCAAACTTATTCTTTAACCCTATTATTTTAAGTATGAAAACCAACCTTACTCTTAAAATGCGTATATCTGTATTTAATAACTTAAATAACAATTTAAAAAATAATAATTTCTGTCTTTGAGTAAAAAGCGAAACCTTGCCTGTATATCCGGATGCGATGCCAGAACGTAGAGACACATCTGTAGAGCCGTGGCCGTGGTCTCCAGTCCGGCGAAGATGACCAGCATGGAGTGGCCCAGAATCTCATCGTCCGTCAGCTCCTTGATGTCAGAGCCGGACCTCCAGCTCCCAGCGTCCGGCTCGTCCTCGTCCACCTGCTCCAGCTTGCCCTGCTTCACGGCTTCGTTGGCTTTCAGAAGTAGGTCTAGGAAATCCACCGACTTCCGGTCGGAGTGTTGTAACTTCCGTCTATCAGCGACTGTCGCGTCTAGAATTGTTTTAAAATATTTGTCGGCGTCTAGATCAATCGGCTCGAACAGTTGGATCGACTTGAAGACTTTATTAAATATTTTAAGTAACGACGGGCTAATTAAAATCATGGTCTGGATAATGATTCTCCTTATTCCTAAATTAGTCGCTAGCATTGACTTAGCGTAGTTGAAAAACTCCGGGTCCTTCTGGCCGATAAAATTGACGTTTAATCCGAAACCCGTTTTGGCAATGACCTCACACGAGAACCTCCCCGTGGCGTCCTTGATGGCGACCGTGGTGCCGGCCCGGGCAGCGGCCTCCAGGTAATTCCCCAGGGCCTGCGCCGACTTCTCAATTGTCTTGGCTATGTGTCTCAGCTTGCCGGAAGTGAACGTCGGGGAGACGATCTGTCTGTGTCGCCGCCAGCTGTTCCCTTTGGCGAAGAATAGAGACTTGGCGAATGGCGAGTTGGAGGTCAAGCCGTCGCTTCGGTCGACGAAGTTATTGAAGTCTTTGATAAACACGTGCCTCATGAGGTCAAAGTTCGTGGTGACGATGCTCTGTCCAGTGCCGGTGACGATGGCCACAGTGTCACCATAGGCGTTAATGATATTTGACAGCTGTTTTCTGATATACATACATATATACATATTATATATATATATATATATATATATATATATATATATATATATATATATATATATATATATATATATTCGTATGTATATTTATATTAATTTTTATATATGTATGAATATACATATTCATATAAATAGGTCTATATATATATATATGTAATGTTGTAACATTTTGCTGGATATAGCGCATAGTTTCTGTAAACATCTCAACCAGCAAGTTAAAAACGCACCTGAAATCGTCCCCAAAGAAATAAAATGGCGACAGTTTGGGGCACTTGACGCCCAGCCTCGCCCAGTCGGAGCCGCTGGTACGTTGCCAGTAGTGGTAGACGACCACAGCCAACGTGGCAATAGCCAGGTAAGACGTGATGGATGTGATCCAGCTGACAGACATCACGTGGTCAAAAAACGACGCCATTTTTTTTCTCTCCGCTGAAAGAAAATTGTGTAAGAATTTCTCACTTCGCCTAGCAAACTTATGAATATTTGAATGCTCAAAAAATGAAGCTTTTTAATTAAACTTGTAATTTTTTTTTCTAATTCTAAATATTTTAAAAACATAAACCGAAGTTAAAATCTGATAAGGATTTATAAAATAAACAACCAACAACTTGAAATCAATACATAAATTCTTCTATAATATATTAATGATTATAGCAGTTATCAGAAACCAGTGCCGAATTTCTAACTATTTAGATAAAGTTTGATTTCAAACTGATTAAAACCAAAACATACTTTCAATGTTCCCTAATTAGGTGGTATTCAAAAGTTAAAAAATGTTTCTATTGACTGGAATTTGTCTCCAACATATGCAACACATTCGGCGTCTTTGAACGGTCCTAACAAATCACCTTTCGTTTGATTGATTCCTCCTATCAACTCCGTCACAGCAATTTAAGTTCTAGAACTATCTGACCCTCGTTCTTTAAAGTTCTTATAACCCGTTCAGTGACTCACTACATACTGAAGTTACATTTAGCGACCTATTTTCTTACGCGTGTTTTGATTGGCTGTCGCTGTTCCACATGTTACCCAATGCACTGTCCTCTTGTGCAGGTGTAGTGCAACACTTGGGGCACTTGACGCTATCTGATACAGCTGTTTGTTTGTTTATCAAATCTTTTAATTAAAATACAGACACCTCGAGAGTCCCATGATTGAACACAGTAGATCATGGTCGGTGTTTCTTGGACTTAATAACCCCCCCCCCCCCCCACTCCGGAGGTGGGGGAGTGTTCGATAAGGACGGAATGGGACAAGGGGGTTGAGGTTGTAAGGTATAGGACAAGTGTTGTGAAGCATATTCTTTTATTAGTAATTAATGTATCACAATATTGGAGGTATCATTACACGGCAAACTAAAAGTATCGCAGCATCTTGAAACTACTGTTATCATTACATCACAAAATAATTACAACTATTGATCCAGAGATGCTTTGTGTACGCGGTGTATATCGAGATAGCTGCTGAACATTTATAGCTTTTTGAAAGAGTGAAGTTTTGATTAGGTCCACTTATGAGGAGGTCTTCTGTTATTTTCAAAAGGTCTTCTATTAGTTCACAAAGTCTTCTATTAGTTCCACTGGGCCTTCTATTAATTCCACAAGGTCTTCTATTAATTCCACAAGGTCTTTTATTAGTTAAATAAAAATGTCTTCTATTAGTTCTATAAAAAAGGTCTTCTATTAGTTCCAAAAAAGGTCTTCTATTAGTTCCAAAAAAGATCTGCTATTAGTTCCAAAAAAGGTCTTCTATTAGTTCCAGAATGTCTTCTACTAGTTCCTCGATGTCGATTATTAGTTCCACAAGATGTTATAGTCTTAGGTCGACAAAAGGTCCACCTCTAGGTTCCGTATACAGCCTTGTAGAAGGTCATCTTATCGATACAACAAGTATGTCAGGGATTAGGCCCTGCACTCCCCTGCACTCCCTATCAAACCCTACCTACGCCCCTCTAGTTTCTAGCTGTAAAAAAAAACAACCTATGAAGAACGCGTCGTTGGGCCGTTACTAACACACTGTAACGCCTCCATAGATGCTGCCTAAAGCCTACCCAACCATAACATAATGTATCCAACCTCATGAATACAATATGTACACATAAAAATCAATTGGAAACAATTTCTAACTGCCTTCTCCAACTTCTAAAACGTTTCTCTTGAACTCGCCGCGAAGAGTTTTATCAACTTGATTGCAGTTGTGAAGATGTAGGACAGGAAGTTGCGTCAGCGTGATGAAACAAACAGCGACACCAATCGTCTAGTCTAGAACTTTTCCACAACTTCAAGTCTGATAACTCCTGATGATAGATGAGCGACACAAGACAAGAGTTCCCTTTTAACCCCAGTGGTGACGTTCTTCGCTCCCTTGTAATTTTTTTTCTTTCTTAAAATGTATAGAGTTATCTAACTTTCTCTTCAGGTCTCGTAGCTCTGACCATATTCCCAATTCATCCCAATCAATCGGGGCTGATCAATTATGTATCGTCCTATAAACATTCAATACGCATCTCGGCAGGTGATAGAAGCCTCAAAGAGTGGCTTCCCCGCACGAGTTGAATACGCTGAATAGTTAATGCGACACACAAACAGGTTAGGCCAACTGGCAACTGGGTTAACGTTAAGGTGTGCTGAGGAGGGTGAAGTTTAGGTCAGGATTACACAGCTAGTTCAGTTCCAGGTAGTGATGGTAGTTTGACGTTTGGGCGAGTAGTTACACTTGAAGTCACTGGGAAGTGAGATCGGTCAGGGAGTATAGTGGATGGATGGAATTTTTATAAGAATAATATGGGATTTCAAGTACAATAGGGTGGATGATATATATATATATATATATATATATATATATATATATATATATATATATATATATGCCTATATATATATATAGGCCTATATAAATATATATACATACATATATATATATGTATATATATGTATATATATGTATATATATATATATATATATATATATATATATATATATATATATATATATATATACATATATATATATATATATATATATATATATATATATATATATGCATAGATGTTGTCTATAAAGCTTAACAAGTGAATATTGGTTGCTTATTGCAGTGTACGAGATCTATTACAACAATATTCATGTCGTCCTTTAAACATTGTATATACAATCCAACGCAATAAACAGGACGCTTGAATTAGTGTTGTGTCTTAAGTCTGAAGTCGAGTGTCGTGTTTACCAGATGTGTTGCAATGGTCTGGACGCATGACAATAGTCACGTGATATTTTGCGTGACTTCACGGTTGTCACATGATCCTTGCGCATGTCAGCTTGACCTACTGATGTACTTTAACTGACATATTGATCTAGGCCAATACATTACGGCATAGAGGTCTTCTGTTACATATCCTATCCTGAAATTAGTTCCCTTTATCTAGGGAAAAGAAGAATAACAAAACATATGCAAAAATGTAGAAACACAAACAGGGACATAATTAAAGGTAACATTTACATTATGTCTGACACACACACACATACACACATACATACACACTAACACCCCAAACACACGAGGTATGTTCATGTTTGATCACGTGATACACCCCGTGTAACAATGGGACGAGAGAGAGTGCCAGACAGGCGATGATGCGTGACGACAGAATGATCCCACTCTGTGTGAGTCAAACACCAGCAGCACCGTTTTTCATGTCATCGTGACATTTAGACTGACATCATGCGCAGTCATATGACATTAGGAGTCACCATAATGCGCAGTCATATGACATTAAGAGTCACTGTCGCCGTCATGCGCAGTCATATGACGTTAAGAGGCACCATCATGTGCAGTCATATGACATTTAGACTGACCGGCATGTGCTGTCATATGACATTTAGACTGACCGTCATGTGCAGTCATATGACATTTAGACTGAGCATCATGTGCAGTCATATGACATTTAGACTGACCGTCATGTGCAGTCATATGACATTAAGAGTCACCATCATGTGCAGTCATATGACATGTCAATGTCGTATGACTCCACCTGATGGTGACTTTATGTCATATGTCTCCTCATGATGGAGTCATATATAATCATGTGCAGTCATATGACAATCAGTCACCATCGTGTGCAGTCATACGACATTAAAGGTCACCAATATGCTCAGTCATATGACATTACGAGTCACCATCATTAAAATAAAATTATTTTAAAAGTTACCTTTATCTTTTTGAACATTATCTTTAATTTTCGGTACCTTTTTATTTTATTAAAACTTAGTTTTATCTTTTCATACCTGTGAACATACTTTGAGTAATTTGCAGTTTATTTACTGCAGATTTTCTCCAGTATTCGCACTTCAATTATTTTATAATATCTGTTAAAATATCTATTTTAAAACCACCCGACACCTCCGTTTTTTTCAGAAGTTTGTAAATGAACGATACCGTTTTTATTTAACAGCGATACCGTTTTTATGTAACACCTGACATTGAAAAATAACGCTGACACGGAATCGGTGACAAAGACGTATCGATACCACGATGGATGCCGATAAATATATGGCCGTAGATCTGAGATTGTCAGGTAAAGCAGACAGCCGTATGAAGGAACATCAGCAGATGAACTATTTGCTTTCAGCTTTCTTTTAATATAGATAAGCCTGTCAATGTTACATCCTATAACGATATGTTTAGGGCAATGCAAACAGATCTTCATGCAGATATATATATATATATATATATATATATATATATATATATATATATATATATAAATGTATGTATGTATGTATACTTCATATGTTTGTTCTTCTTCTAGTTGGTTCTTGACTATACCTTTGGGTGGGATTTTCTACAATAAAATTAAATATTACATGTCAACTTGTTAGGCAGCATATTTGTCGCCGACTCATTTGTCGCCGACTGATTTCAACCAGCTTTTTTTCTCCCTGGAATTGCTTCCATAGCCTTTGCCCAGCAAAGAACAAACTACAAGGCACCAGTTGTTTGATTTTGGAAATGTCTTTCCTATATAAGTTCTTGTCCCCAGCTATCGAGCATCATCTTCCAGGGGTTTGAACTCGAGACTTTTCGGTTAAGCAACCCTTTTATGTTTGCTATTCGTCCGCAGGTAGCAACATTATTATTACAATTACTTGTTGTATTTATGTGCCCCCCCCCCCCCCCTGAGTGTAACGCACTGTACAAAGCCACATTAGCATACCGTTAAATGACCAAATGACAGCTCTTGGTGTGACATTCATCCCACCTTTACAATAACTTGACGTCATTTAAATATCACCGAACTTGATATTGAAAGTTTTAGCGGTAACGAGAAACCACATATAAACCTGTAGTTAATGTGCTAACATAAGCATTGACGCTAGCGTTCAATACGGTAGCGGACATTCAGAGTTTCTTCCAGGCATCTCTTCGGGGGGGCGAAGCCCCCCTTGAAATTTTTTTACCGCCCCCCCCCCCCCGAACGAAATGAAATTTATATAATTTATATAGAAAATATATACTTTTAACAGTGTCCGCCCCCGAAGAAAGTCTACCGCCCCCCCCGACAATTTCAAGTGCCCCCCCGGAGAAAAAAGTCTGAAAGAAACACTGCGGACGTTGTCTATCTGCAACATAGCCGTCATCAGCTACAGGCTCACTTAAATGGCGTTGTTGTCATTTGGCTAAATGATAGCCAAAATGGAACACCTTGTTTGACATTACATGTTAAATTCTAGCCGAAATAATGAATGCCAGATGGTATGTTGAGAATGTGTAAAGTAGTTCCTTAAGTAGTTGAAGAATACATGTCCTTTAAAAAATAACCAGAGAAGTATTGTGTTATCAGTTTAACATTAACATATATGGTATTTTTAAAGATTTTTTTA